AATTACTAGGAAGAATTTACTGTTTTAACGAGAAAACTTCGTGACTTCATATCTGAAGGCAGGCGCTTCACAATGTGCCTTGATGGCTGGACTAAAAAAGGTCTTACTGCGTCCTTTTTAGGAATTTCGGTTTGTTTTTTTCACTTCAAATCCGAAAAACAAATACATGCTCTGCTTAATTTGTATCTTGTGAAACATCCACATACAGGTGAACAAATTGCTAATTGTTTTGAAAAATGCCTAAAATATTGGAATATTTCCAGAGAAAAAATATTGCTTGTTATTTCGGACAATGGAGCAAACATGGTCAAAGGCATAAAGTTGTCGAGAATGAAAGCTCAAGCTGAACGTGATATACTTATTGAATTAGAAAGTGAGGTTAATGAAGAGCAGATAACAGATCTGGAAGACGATGAGAATATGACAAATAGTGAAAAGTGGGAACATGTTGACTTGATAGTTGATGTAATAGAAAACGTAGCATTTAGAAGATTGGGATGCATTGCACATGTTATACAGCTAGTTGTAAAACTTGCATATGATGGTAAATATCATGGCTTACTTTTGAAGGTACGTGGATTAGTGGGAAAAGTTCGCAAATCTTCTGTTGCATTGGAAAAAATTATCAACAAATGTGGTAAGACTGTGATCAGCGACTGTTCTACAAGATGGAACAGCACTTACTTTATGGTTCGGAGATTTCTGGAAATAAAGACATCTATCAACGAAGTGCTTGGAGACCTTAACATTGATTCACTTGCCAATAGCGAATGGATAATGCTTCAGGATTTTGTCAATCTTTTAGAACCTTTTGCCAATGAAACTGATATTCTTCAGACGGATGCACTTTCACTATCCAGTGTTATACCTTCAATACTTAATTTAGAATGTCACCTTGAGCAATTTGGAGATGCCAAAGATGTAGCAGTTAAAATGCTTGAAGATCTACGCCGTCGTTTTGCTGTTCTTTTGCAGCCAAACGATCCTAATTTTAATCCACTGCCATGTGCCGCATGTCTACTTGACCCCACATGTGCAATAGCTCTTTTAGGTAATGAGCATACACAAATCAGAGAGTGTGCAAAGAATTACATTTTGTCAGAGGCTAAAAAATCGGTGCAACATGATTTACCTTTAGCAAGTGCATCTACTCTTTCTGTTGAGATTGCTCCAGAAATAAATGGATTAACAAAATGGAAATTTTTAGCGGCAAAACAGCGAGTAGAAAAAATAAAGCTTATTCCAGGTAATGAAGCACAAAATGAACTCAACAAATATTTTATTGAAATAAGGAACAGCTCTATGTGCCAAAATGCTTTAAATTTCTGGAAGAAGAGACGTGCCGTTTACCCACATATTGCACCATTAGCTGAAGACCTCATTGCAGCTCCTGCAACTCAAGCATATGTTGAAAGACTTTTTTCAATCTGTGGCTTGCTCACAAATGGACGGAGAAATCGAATGTCAGCGTCATTGGAAATGCGTGTTTTCTTAAAACTAAATTCTCATCTAGTCTAGATGATAATCATATAATCACTAGGCCCTTTATTTGTAAAATATATGAGTAATTATTAAAGTCTATACAATAACTATTCATTAGTTTTTATTGTTACAAAATTTGAGGAGTTTTTTTTATACCTAATAATTGAAATTTTTTTAAGTTTTAGAGCAATAAGGACAGGTTGTTGTTGTGTTTTTTATTAAGGGCAGTGGGCAGGGCTCTAAACTTCTAGCCATGGGACTGGGTGTATTACATTTAATTAAGTTCTCATTTTTATACTAAATTATAATTAGATGAGATAAAAAATTTATACGACAAACGAAAATTGAACTAAATAAAAACTAAAACTAAAATTATTTTAAGATGAACTGAATAAAAACTAGAACTAAATTTATTTACTGAACTGAATAAGAACTAGAACTAAAAACTTTGCCTCTAAACTGAATAAAAACTAAAACTAAAATTATTTTCCGAACAAAAATATCACTGGTCACTGCACTACAATGGGCGCTACTGCAGTTTCTCCCCCCCCCCCCCACTTTTTTTTTATTGTTGATTATGATAGAGAATTTTATGCTTATTAAGAATCGTATAAAAACAATGGTCTAAAAATCAACAAAAAGTGCTCTAATTTGATGTTGAAGTTCAAAAAATTACACTAAAATTTAAAATTACGCAATTTTTTTTATTTAGTCGATGAGTGAACATTTAATTGCGCCAATCCCTTTGATGACAATAAAAACCGGGTCGCGTAATTAAAAAAAAAAAAAATTTCTTAACGATCGATTTCAAAATGTAAACTTTGATGTAAAACGTATTTTAAAAATGTCGAATATTAGCGTTTTTTAGTGTAATTTTTTAAACTTTAAAATCAAATTAGAGCACTTTCTGTTGATTTTCAGACCTATATTTTTATACGATTTTTAATCATATAAAATTCATAATCAACAATAAAAAAGAGGGGGGGGGGGGGAAGGAGGGGAGAAACTGCAGTAGGGTCCTATAATGTAGTGTAAAGAAGTAAAAATGCTAAGAAGTTTTTATTTGAAAAATGAAAAAATAAATTTATGAGTATGACTTATTAATAATAAGTATAACTTATTAATAATGAGTAACAGTTATAATATAATAAAATTATGTTGTAATTTATAGATTAAACTTCTTAAAATAATATTTTAAGTTAAGGATTTATTTTAATAGTTGTTAACTGTTAATGTTAAGGCACTAAGTTAAGCTATTTAGCTAACTTTTATATTTGTAGACTATAGTAAAAGCTTAGCTTATATGTTATAACATTTAAGCTAAGTTTATACTCTATTCTACTAATATAAAAGTTACCTAATAAAAATAAAGGTATAACATAAGATATTAAAACCTAGTATCTGGCATGTTTTAAGATTATATTTTTCGGTTAAACTTTATTTATAACTAGTATATATTTTTAATTTTTTAAAAGCATAAAAAAATGTATTCAAAAATAAAATTTAAAATTACTGTTTGGAAATATTTTGAAGTTTCAAAGAAAGATAACCATTTTTGTATTTGCCTACTATGAAAAGCATTACTTTCTAGAGGTGGGAATTGTCCTAAAACATTCACCACTAGTGCATTTAGACGTCATTTAAAAAATAAGCACTTTGCAGAATATAAAATAGCTGAAAAATAGTCTGACAAAAAAAAAAGGAAACACCTACATCAACTACAGCCTCTACATGAAGTGATTCTGAATTAAAATAACAATTAACATTACTGGAGATTCTTAATAAAAATAAGCTGTGGGATGTAAAAGATCATAGAGCACTCAAAATTCACAATCACATTGGAGAAATAGTGGTGTTGAACATTCAACCATATTCGATTGACGAAGACCTTGGTTTTAAAAAATTAATTGAAGAGCTGTATCCTAATTATTAAATACCTAGTAGGAGATATTTTAGTGAAAATATTATTCTACAAATATATAATAAACTATTTAGTTCTATTAAGAGTAATATATCTGCTGCCATTCATATCTCTCTTACAACTGACATTTGGACAGCAAATAGTTCAAATGTTGCCTTCACAAACATGATAGCACACTGGCACAGTAATGAATTTTCCCAGCATAGAGTAGTATTCAGAATTATGCATTTTCCAGAAAGTCACACAGGAAAAAACATAAGTGAGTATTTACATAAAGGTTTAATAAGTTTTGAAATTCCACACACAAAAATTCATTTTTTTTTTTTTTTTTTATATTGTTACGAGATAATGCCGCCAATATGGTAGAATCTTCAGTACATAACACAAATGAAGTAATTGCAAAACCAGCTTATCTAAAATTTAATGGATGTTTTCAGAAAGTTTCTAAACTGACAACTATAGATGAATGTGATTCCAATTTTGTAAATACTGAAAATAGCAAAAGGTTAAAAAGATCAAATTCTAGTATGCAAATGATAAACAAGGAGATTGAAGAGTATTTAAAGCTACCTTTTGTCACGGAAAAAGAAAGTTGAAAGTCTTCTGTTGAAAGTAAAAGACTTTTTAGTACAGGTGGCAACATTTACGAACCCAATAAAAACAGAGTATCACTAGAAAGTGGCAAAAAATACTGTTTATTCATTATAACTTGAGGCAACAAATGATAATTGATTTTCACTCATGTTTTTAATGTTTTATTTTTTCAATAATCGATTATTTTGTTAGGTGAAACTTTAAAATTGTTGATTTGTCTAGTATTAATACTGTTGCATGTTTAGTTATATAATAATAACATAATAGTATATGTTATATAGTTATATAGTAATATCTAGATAATAAATCGGAGCATTTTTATGTTTTTGATCACCACAATAAAATTTTTCCCTAAGTTTATTCCTTTCAAATAATTTTCTCAGTTCAACTAATTGAGTAGCAAAATTACAAGCAACTTTCTTTGTAATTTTTTTTTTTAACACAGCAGCAATAGGCGCCACTTAAAACGGACGTTTCTATCTGTTATTTTAAGTTTATTTTATATTATTACATTTTTGCAATTTTTCCAAAATAAAAAATTTGCTTCTTGCATGAATTTTGTAACTTAAGTTAAGTTTAATTATTATTATTATTGTATATTAAAGGATAAAATTAACTAAAATATTGCTTAATTTAAAGGATTTTTTATTTTACACTTATACTAGTACTATTTTTTCTAAATAATGTAAACTAGTTTTACGTAATACATTCGTTTTTAAGTAATACATGCAATCAAATTAAATTTATTCTAAATTCAAAAAAGTTGATGTCAATCTAACGTACTCGTGTGTCTATTGAAAAACATATTCTTACCTACTATGTGTAGTAGATAAGAATCGGTTTTTCAATAAAAAGCCATATCTATTGGTACTGTAGCTATTTAGGCTGAGTTATGATAATTTGATGATGTTAATTAGCATTTTTAGCAAATGTTTGGCCGAACATTTGTCAAAGTTCGGCCGAACCGAACGTTCGGCAAAACAGCCGAACGTTCTGCATCCCTAGTAATAATAACTGCATAACAACATATTTCAGAAGCTTTTGGTTCAATGTCTTGCTAAAAAATAGTTAAGAAGACAGTTTTTGAAATTAGTAATTGAGTCAATTGATTTTAATGGTGAAGGTAAACTGTTCCATGATTTTACACTTTGGTATTTTATGGATTTTAGACTATATTTTACAGAAGAATGATTTGATACAAGAAGATCATAGTTATTAGAAGATCAAAGATTATAGCGACAGCTTTCTCTCACAGTTAAAATTGTTGTAAATGTGCTAGGTAGGCTTTTTTATTGATGATAGAAGACTAATTGATAACTTAATAGTTGAACTATCAATTTTGAGTATTTTGATAAAAAATAAAGATGATTGGAGTTAGAAAGATAATGTTGAAAATATATTATTTTAAAGCTTTGTTTTGTAAGTTGGATAATCTTAAAATTTCTTGGGTGTGGGTTTGTTCCCAAATTTGACACGCATACCTAAGATGTAATCCGAAAATGGCAAGATATATATTGATAATAGTTACTAATATTCTGTTTGATCTACATAGTTCTATTTATAAGTCCTTAAGATGATGTGAAAAAGTTAAATTTGAGTCAATTTTGATTCCAAAATACTTTAGGTAGATAACTGGTCTGATTTTTTGACTTAGCCTAAAATTTAGGTGTTTACTGATTTTAGATTTTTATGTTTTGATTTAAAGATGATAATTTCAGTTTTACTAGTATTTACTAGTATTTAGAGACAGTTTGTTAGATCGAAGCCATTGAACTAGATTAGATAGATCATGATTAATGTATTTGTTTTTTTTTTTTTTAATTATTTGTCAATTAAAAGCAAGTTAGTGTCATCAGCATAATGGTAGGAATTTTTATATTTTAGTGATAAACTAAGATTGTTAATTAAAACAAGGAAAAGAAATGGTCCTAATACAGATCCTTGAGGTACACATGTAACGCATTTTACTAAAGAAAACGTGTTACCATTAATAGACAAAAATTGAAATCTATTATAAAGATTATGATGTAAACCATTCGAGAGAAACTCCTCTAATACCATAGTATTCCTGTTTACTTAGGAGAATAGAATAATTAACAGTGTCAAATGCTTTCTTTAGATCAACAAATACACTACAAGCAAAAAATTTATTTTCAAGAATTTTTCTGATAACCTTAGTGATTTCTATAAGTGCATGAGTTGTAAAAAAATCTATGCACAGTAAAATATTTGAAAAATCTATGCGCAACAGACTTTACAACTAGAAAGTTGTAAAGTCTGTTGTGCATAGATTTTTTAAATACTTTACTTATGTTTGAAAGAAGTGAAATTGGGAGATAGTTATTGTGTTTCGATCTAGAGCCTTTTGAAATGGAATAAATTTAGCTATTTTAAAGACATCTGGAAAAAGTTCATTTTCAAAAAAACTATTTATCATTGTACAGAGAGGCTTGGAGATAATGTGGGAAACAAAGAAGAAACGTGGAAATATATTGATACCTAAACTTTTTTTACTTTGTAAATTTTTTATAAGATTTGATACTTCGTTTTCAGTGAGTGGATCTATAAAATAAGAGTTTTTATTTGGGTTATTTAAATAGTCTGAAAAACTACATTTACATGTCAACTAATTAAGCCATTATTGCACCATTACAGCTATTACTGAAAAATTATATTACATGTCAGCTCATTAAGCCAGTACTTTCCACTCATTTATCCATTCTACTGGTAAATCCATGGCAAATCCATAGAGAGAGCAATGGGGTCAATGACCCCATTCCTACCCCCTCCCATATATATTCTGAAATTTTTTTTTTTTAATTAGGGAGGCTGTTTTTTTTTTTTTTTTTTTCATTTTATTTAGGTGCCTCAAAAAGTCCTTATGGTCTTATCACAGAGCACCGCTGATGAGGATTTAATCGGAAGTTCACGCCTCCTTCCTAACCGATGTCGCAAAACTTGCCTAGAGGTGGGGTTTGAACCACAGATCCTTTGTTTCTGAGGCACGTGAGCTACCAATGCACCATGGCTGCTACATTACGTTTAAATGTGATAAAAATTTTTAGTAAGATTTGTGGTGCAAAAAACTGATGGGGTATCAATGTATAACCTAATTTGCAGTTACAGAGATTAAGACAGTACAAAGCTAATATTTTAAAAAAATACCTGAAAATCTTCCCCCTTCCTCTTTACTTTACTAAATGGCTTGGATTAACAAAATTAACCGCCCACCTCATTTTTGGTTCTGGTCACATTTGGAGGTGGTGGGTAAAGTTATATATATATATATATATATATATATATATATATATATATATATATATATATATATATATATATATATATATATGTATATATATATATATATATATATATATATATATATATATATATATATATATATATGTATATATATATATATATATATATATATATATATATATATATATATATATATATATATATATATATATATATATATATATAACTTTACCCACCACCCACCATATATATATATATATATATATATATATATATATATATATATATATATATATATATATATATATATATATATATACATATATATATATATATATATATATATATATATATATATATATATATATATATATATATATATATATATATATATATATATATATATATATACACACATATATATATATATATATATATATATATATATATATATATATATATATATATATATATATATATATATATATATACACACGTTTTGAAAGCCCTGAGTTATTGCAAAACTATCATTCATGAAGCAGTAATACTTTGTCAGTATGTTCATATAATTTTTTTTAATTTTATTTTAATTTAATTTAGGTGACCCAAGAAGTCCTTACGGTCTTATCACAGCGCACTGCGAATGAGCATTTAATTGGAAGTTCACGCCTTTTCTAACAGATGTCACATAGCATAACTTCCAGAGGTGGGGTATAAACCACGGGTACTTTGTTTCTGAGGCAAGTGCGCTACCACTGCGCCACGGCTGCTAATTCATTTCCTAGATGAATTTCTAGTTTGCAAATAGAAAAATTTGATATAAGAATTAAAATAAAAATTCATTTGAACACAAATAGTAAAATAATTTAAAAAATATAGTTACTTTCAAACTTAGCTAGAAACTTTAATGGTCTGAAAATTCGAACCAACTTTATATATTTTAACCATATGCTGTTGTTTCTTATCACTTGCGTTAAAACACTTAAACAAACAAAAAAAATAAACACAACTAATTACATTTTTGCTGTAATTAGATTAAACCAATTATATAAATGTGAAATAGTAAACAAAACATTAAAACAGAAAATTTCAAAGTGTTTAATAAGTTTATTTCTATTAATTATTATTTTGGTAATTCCAAACCACAAAATTTAACTCAAATATACCTTTTATTTTTATTATTTTTTAATTCTATTAATCATTATCTGAAAAAATAAAAAAAAGTTCTAAAACACATATATAGTATGTCCTTAAAAAGATTATTCGATATTATGTAATTTAGGATACCTAACATATAACTTTTTGGTTTCAAAACATTTTTTTTACCTCAGATAATTTTAGATTTTTTTTGTTAATAAATCATCAACAACATGATTACCTTCATTTGGTGATTTTTTTACTAGTTAATTTATGAAAGTTAGTTATAAGTTAATTATAACATGTTAGATGTCAAGGTCATAAATAATATAATTTATTGTTTCGCGTATTTCAGACAATTTTTCAATTTTCAAAATTTCAATTCTGTATTCCAATAAACAAAATTCTTCATGCAATAAGGTTTTGGCATGAGCAATTACGACTATAGAGATAGAGATCATTTTTCCATATAAAACCTTGAGAGTTTTGAAAAGTCAGGAAATATATTTTTTTGACGCATATACATGCTCAAACTTTTGGATTTGGTTTTTTTGGACGTTTCATAAATATAAACTAGTTATGTATCCATCGACAGATTTGAAATTTTTTGTTTAAATCATTCAGTTTTCAGTTTTTATGACCCTTCAGATTAAGGGGGCCACAAACTTTATATGGTCATAAAAAAACTAAACACTAAATAATTTAATCATAAAATTTGAAATCTGTCGATTAATACATAACTAGTTTATATTAATAAAAAAATAAATAATTCAACTAATTGCCCTCACATTTAGGGTAAGGAGGGGGCTAGATTCCCATTCTCCTATCGAAGTAATTTTTTTTGTGAAGAATCTTTTTGTCATACATATGAAAGTAAAATTATTTGTGATATTTCTTTTGTTTTAAAGTTGGCTATTTCAAACATTTAAAAACCTTCCTACGCCACTATATATATTCGCTGACGTATTATCATTATATTATAGTGTTATCATAATATTATTAGCATTTTTATAATCATATTATTATATTATAGTTGCATAATGTAAAACATAATATTCTTTAAAAGACAAAGTTGCAATTAGCCCTGGTGTTCCTTAAGTAGAAAAAACTAAACTAATTAAACGTGAAAATAAATTAGTAAAACTGAACTAGTAAAGAATTTTGAACAAGTTGAAACCAAATAGCAAGCAACCACAATTTGAGTTGGAAGCTTATAGAAAGCTAATAATGGAGTTAAGGAACTAAAAAATGCTTTAGAGAAAACTTAATAAACTGAGTCAAAAAAAGACAAACATGAAGATTGTAGAGTTTTTTGATCGTGAAGGAAAAGTTGAAGTAAAAGTTTATTACAACTAAAGTGTCGTTCTAACTTTACATTGCTTTTGTTGATCTTAATATATATATAAATATATATATATATATATATATATATATATATATATATATATATATATATATATATATATATATATATATATATATAATTTTAAAATTCAAACAAAAAATCTTTTAGCGTTCAAAGACAATAAAAAGTTTTAACCCCCTCAATTTGAGGATGCTGCAAATTTTATAAGGCCATAACAGTTATGGTTCAACAGTTACTGTTGAACGCTAAAAGATTATTGTGTGAGTTTTAAAATTTATCGATGAATATTACTTGGTTAAAAATAGTAGAAAAAAATATATATATATTTATATATATATATATATATATATATATATATATATATATATATATATATATATATATATATATATATATATGTAATTTTATAATTCACACAAAAAATCTTTTAGCGTTCAAAGACAATAAAAAGTTTTAACCGCCCTCAATTTGAGGGGACTGCAAATTTTATAAGGCGATAACAGTTATGGTTCAACAGTTACTGTTGAACGCTAATAGATTATTATAATAATAATAATAATAAGGTATAACTGTAACAACTGTTTTAAACAGTTGCGAAGTGCAATAACATAAGATATTGCACTGTAACAGATCATTTTGTCTTTTGTTTGTGTTTTAACAAATAGTTTCTGCAAAATCCAGCTCTGTCTAGTTTGTTTTTGAAGTTATTTATTGAAGTAGCTTCTATTATTTCAGATGGTAAGCTGTTCCACGCATTTACAACTCGATTTTGGAAAAAATGATACCTGAAGGTATTTCTGCTAAAAGGTTTTCTCATTTTGAATTTGTGTTGTCGCAGACATGGACCCTCCTCCAATGCATTTCCACAATCGTTAGCAACCCAATTTATTTTATCATGGCCATGCTGAATTTTATATTGTTGAATCAAATCTCCACGTAGTCTACGTTCTTCCAGTGACGTTAATTGCATAATATTCAACCTAGCCTCATATGATAATTTCCTAATTGTAGGTGCTAGTTTGGTTGCTCTTTTTTGGATTTTTTCAATCTTGTCTATGTCTTGTTTTAAAAATGGAGACCATGCCTGGACCGCAAACTCAAGATGTGGACATATGAACGTTGTATAGAGCATTTTTACCATGTTTACATCTAAATATTTAAAGGTTCTCTTTATGGTACCTAACATTCTGTTTGCTTTGCTGGTTGCTGAATCAACTTTTGATTGCCATTTTAAATCGGATTGAACCATTATACCCAAATCACGTTCAGCTTTTGTGTTACTCAATGTATAATTGTAATTGCAATCAATATCAGTCATTATAAATGTAGCATTTGGATTTTTTTTCCCAATATGCATAACTTTGCATTTTTCATAATAAAATTTTGTGAGCCAAATAGATGACCATGCCATTATGTTATTTATATCATTTTGAAGGCTTATTGAATCATTAGGATTTTATTATAATATTTATTATTTTACTATCATCAGCGTAAAGTTTAATAGGGTTTTTGACTTGATCTGGCAAATCATTAATAAAAATCAAAAACAGCAGTGGTCCTAAAACTGACCCCTGTGGTACACCACTAATAACTGGTAGCCAATCTGAGACAGTGTCGCCAAGGACCACTCTCTGTTTTCTGTTAGTTAAAAAGTTCTCTATTGTGTGAGTTTTAAAATTTATCGATCAATATATACTTGGTTAAAAGTAGTAGGAAAAAAAAAAATATATATATATATATTTTTCTATTCCTGAATTATTTGCTAATCTCACGCAAGATTGTCGACCGATTGCCACTAGATCTAGAAATTATTCTCAAAGAGATAAAGAATTTATTAAATCTGAAATCCATCGCCTGACTCAAGCAGCAATAATAGAGCCTAGTAATTCACCTTGGCGTGCCCAGGTCTTAGTAGTAAATGAAAAGACTAAACGTCCCATGGTTGTTGATTACTCTGAAACTATTAATAAATATACTCAATTAGATGCATATCCTCTACCTAAGATTGAAACGATTGTGAATATAATTTCTAAATACAAAATTTATAGTACTCTCGACCTTCGCTCAGCATACTACCAAATCCCTTTATCAAAAAAAGATTGACCATATACTGCTTTTGAAGCTGACAATAAGTTGTGGCAATATACTAGAATGCCTTTTGGAGTTACCAATGGATCTGCATGCTTTCAACGCAAAATAGATGACTTTGTTAGAAAATATAACTAACTGACTGCTTTCCTTTCATTGATAACATTACAATATGCGGTAACAGTCAGAAAGAACATGATGAAAATCTACTTAAGTTCAGATTAGCTGCCATTGATGCTGGAATTACATTTAATGAAGAGAAGTGTGTATTTTCAACTAAGACTTTAGATTTTTTAGGTTACCGTATATCGTATGGCTCTTTAAAACCAGATCCTCAGAGACTTGCTCCTCTCATCAAGTTACCCCCACCTGATAATGCAAAGTCTTTACAGCGAATTATTGGAATGTTTTCGTACTATGCAAAATGGATAAGAAAGTTTTCAGATAAAATTAAACCTTTAAACTCTGTTACTCAATTTCCACTCAATCAGCAGCAAATATCAGCATTTGAAACATTAAAAAATGAACTTGTTCAATCTTCCATGCAAACCATTGATGAGAATATACCTTTTACTGTGGAGACTGATGCTTCTGATTTTGCCATATCCGCCACACTTAATCAGGATGGAAGACCTGTTGCCTTCCATTCAC